TTACTTGCTAACCTCCCCGCAGTCTGTTGCAGAGAAAACGATTAACATGCGCGCAGGGAAGTAATAAATAAGGAAGAGGGCTCGCTTAGATCACCTGGCCACAGCTCTTCTGTCTGAGAAATCTGCTCACTCAGCGGTTGACCAGCGGAGCCTCTGCAGCAAACCAGCCCTGGGGTGTCAGCAGGGCAGCAGCAGACAAGCCAGAGCACATATCCTGAGGCGCTGGGACTGCACCACAACCTCCCAGCACTGCCTGCCAGAGGAGAACGGCTCAATAAGAGCACCCTTTCCCTGTATCCTGTTCATTAGCACTGGGAATACGAGAGCGTGAGGTTGATCGATATCTTCTTTCGAGTTCATGGCCATATTATGATGGAATTGATCACTGATACCGGCTTTGTGCAGGGAAAATTAAAAAGAAGAAGACGGAGAAGACAGACGGTCCTTTCCTGCGGTCACATGACTGCATCATTTCATAAGCTCCAGCGAGCTCTTCAAGCGCACACACGAGTCGACACACTCAAGGTATGAGCACACACACGCAAAGCACACAGCGAGTTACCACGAGTTTAGAAACAGGCACTTTGCTTTTGTTTTCTCCCCCTATTAATTTTTAAGTCAATTATTAATCAAAGAACAGAAAAGATGTGTGAAACGATGAATTTGAAAGCAAAGATAGATTTAAAAATACATGACAGGTTAATGGTATGTTGGTAACAACGCCAAGGCTTACGAGCTACGGCACGCATTCTGATTTTAATAGAACAGGCTTCAAAGAAATGTTAAGCGGTCCTTATTTTGAGAAGTAATTCATATTATAATTAACTTCACTTTTTCCATCACTGCTGCTTAATTGCGCTATGCACCACTATGCAATTATACTTTTTTTTTCCTGCAGGGATAACTTGAATGTTTTTAACCAGTCCGCCAGAGCAAGCTTATTAGCCAAAAGGAGTGGCCCTGGTCTTGAGATGAAATGGCTTGTGGAGCTTTGAACCAGGCTTGTTTGCATTGCAAGACCGTGTTTTCCTAGTGCACAGGACACAGGTGTGCACCCTTAGCACCCAAAGACCCTGCCACCCTGTCACCCTGACAAGATCACCTCTTTCAAATTCAGGCAACTGAATTCTATGAGCCATGTCTGCTACGCAAGGTCACCTCAGATTAATTCTGCTTGAGGGAAAATACAATCATCAAAATAGTTAATTAAGGGTTTAAAGGGCTGAAACATGCAACAAGGCTCTAGCAATGAAAAGAAAGCTTCAGTCCCATAAGAAGAAGAGAAAAATCTATATATATATATTGTAGGAAATATATATTGAAGGAAAATTCAGCACTGGACCTTCTCCTGTCCTTTTCTTATCTCACAGTATCTCATCTGGAGATATTTCTCATACTCTTCTGTTAATTCTCATCTCATATACAGTACGACAGCACCTATCACAGGTGACATCACACTGGGAATTGCAGACTTGCTACATATTAACAGTATAATTTCAGATAATTCAGTCAAGCTTGAGTTGACTTAACTATGGAAACACGGTAATAACAGTTCCAATTTGACCTCCTTGGCCTTTCTCCCAAACAAACTTCATGTTTCTAATCACTTTATAAATGCTGCAAAGCTGGACTGGGATCTAAGAATACAAAATAATGCAAAATAAGCAAAGAATTCATCACGAAAACCACACACAGGAAGAACAGCAATGTGGAAATCGTGTTGGGAGTGCAACACGACACACTGTATCGGAGCTCGTTCTGGGTTGTGTTCGCTCTGGACCTTGGCTTAAGGAACCGGCCTTGAATACAAAACTCCACCTCGGACAAGACCTGCACAGCGCTGCTTTACTCCACCCCTGAGGGCAGTCCCTCACGCTGAGCAGAAAGCAGCCCTGGGAGGGATGAGGATGTGGTGGTGATGTGTGCAGTGTCTGTCCCGCTGGCGCTGGCCGGTCGCGACACACCGCCTCAGGGTAAGCTCAGGGTAAGAGTGCAACGACTGTGCCTACCAAAATTTGTATTCTGTTTAGACTGCAGAGTGGGTTTGGGTGAAAACGGTATGGGATTGCTTTTCAAGTGCATGCACTGAGTTTTCACTTCATTAGTTACAAAGTGGGTCAGATCCCAGTATAGGATCGAGGGGGCGAGGAAGTGTGCTTATGGTGAACTATAACTAACAAATATGTGCAATAAAAATGAATTATTAATCTCAGCGGTAGGATAGTTTTATTCTGTTCCTTATGAGACCAAGTGCCCTGTCTTTTTTCATGAATCATTGAAGGAGTAAGTCTGAAAACCCTTGAATTTATGCGGCAGACTAGCAGTGGGGTCATTCTGCTGTGAGTTTAGAACACAAAGCTGTGCTGGTCCACACACTTAACAAGCCTTGATCTCCAACACGAAGGAACCACCCGTCTCTAAATCAAATGCAAGAAAAGGCACATTTGCACATGCAATGAATGCTTCTATCATCAAATATTTAACAACAAAGCATGACTGGACTAATCACAGTCATTCTGATAAGTTCAAGAAGAACTGAGAGCCCAAAGAAAAGATTTTTCTGCTGAAAATTGTACTTGCTTGTTACAAAAGTAGTCTTTCAAAAATGTTTTGAAGCTGTTGGAAACAGGACAATGCATTTTCCAGAAACAACCAAGAAGTGACAAAAGACAAAATATTGCACTCTGTTTCATTGATCGACAGGGTCAGACACATATAGTATCTAAAGTGTTTCAGCTTGACAACAGAAAAGGCCTGTTTTACCCAGTAGTTTGTTGAAAGTCATTCTTTCACAACTCTCTGCATATGCCATACTCTGCACATTCTCTGAATAAGACAACTGAGCCTAGATGCTTACTGCCTTTACACTATAAACCCATTGAAACAGCAAGAGGAGACTGGCCCTGCCATGTACTGTATAAAAGACAGCAGACTTTCTTCTTGGAGGATTGGGAGAACAGAGAGACACAGAGGCATACAACAGCTACATATACTGGATTAAAGCATGATGGTGTGCTATTAATTTTTCTTCTATTCTCCATGAGAAAAGCCTCACTGTTCTTGAGCTCTCAGAAAAAAATGTTTTTTAACGCAGTTTCAACTAAAAAGTTTCCTAGCGCTCAGAGTCACAGTCAAACCCCAGGTGATACACCGCTGTTTCATCCTTGAGCAAGGAACTTCACCCAAACTGCTCCAGCAAAAATACCCATCTGTAACAATGGGTACAAGTGTAAGTTATTTTGGAAAGAAAAGTCAGCCAAAAAAATTGTAATGTTCCACTGGAGACCAAAAAAGAATACGGAATTTGTGCTCTGTTAACTTTCAGGTCATTGAGTTTGATATACTGTAGGCTTTGTCCTATTTTCTGTTGTAACATCAATTTGTGATGAAACAAAGGGTCAGATATTGGCTAAAATAAACTGGCCAATCTTTGACTGAGATCTGTTCTAAACAGGACAAAGAAATTTAAAGTTTGAGAAAACCTACCTTTTCAATAGTCCATGGTGGCCATTATATTAGTATCCTACGGTATATACCGTATATTTACATTTAGTTACAGTTCATCAAAATAAATTTTATATGAATAAATTAGGAGGCTACCGCATCAGGTTCAGTGCTGTACATACCGTATTCTCCATTGCAGAATCTAGCATCATTTAAAAAGAATTAAACTCTACTGTATTTGGAGTGCTATAATGACAAAGCTATTACAGAAAGAAAAACAGATTGATATGGATTTCTTAATGGATTCCTCTGTGCTTCAGTAAATAAATTCAAAACTCAGCATTTGCCCTCCGTCCACGCACGTTATCAGCGTGGCTATTGAGTGTGCTAAATGCCCCATGTGAAGTGAAATTGCCCCAAGGGACACGCTATTGAAGAGAAGAGTGCTCCATTTATCAGATGTAAATTACCAAGCCAGTCACACAATGGCTTCAATTGAGGAATAACTGGGTCAATACAGTGCAGCACAGTGACACAATTGGCACACTTTAGTAGACCAGGACAGAGCTCCATCTGAGCTCTGAAAACAACTCTCCTCCACAAAACCCAAACCAGCAAAAACACAACATGATGATGGAGCCTTCCCAGTGAAAATAATAACACACATAAGAACACAACCAGACACACAAACTCTCCTGCTGAGGAGCAGCCACTTCTCTCATCAGAAGACTGCATTCAATGGTGTTTTAACAAAAGATCTTCGTCTGTTTATTATCACACTTTTCAAACCCCTATAATCTCTACACTGAACATCAACAGCCCAAAACAAAAGTTACACTTGAAATGAAACCCATATACTGTACTATCTAGTTAACCATAATAATTAAAGTATCTGTTCTAAAAAGCAAAATATCTTCAATCGACCAATATAAAATGCCAACTTGTTTTTCTTTATAATAATACAACTAATTAGGTCAAAATACAGTAACTATACTGTATTTTCTATTGACACCAAAATCTAAATAACATCTACACAAAAACATCTATTCATACATTTGTCCAAAACCTTTGACCAAATCTCTTGAAAACAAAGAGTTTTGGCAGGAAAATAATCTTTATAACTTATGAGAAAAAAAAATCTTGCTTTTGTTTCATATACAGAAAAAAAAAATCTTGCTTTTGTTTCTTATACAGAAAGCCATTGTAATCCACACTTAAATAATGGTAAAGATATTCCCATCCTTAAGAGGTCATGGCAAAACAAATGCATTTCTTTAACAGGGGAATAAATGCAAAACAATTCAAAAGCATAGCTGTACCACGCAACATTGATCAGGAAGCCCACATACTGGAAGAGCATCTCAGACACTGAGAGCAGCAGTTAGCGATCAGAGCCTGGGTCTGGAAGGCTCTGGAAGGTGAGCTGCTGCTCCTGTACCCCTGAACTAGGGACTCCCCCCACACTGTTCAAGCAAAACACCCCGCAGCGTACAGGGGTGTAGACGTAGGTCAAACTCCAGCGAGTTTCCAGCAAGGAAAACAGAACAGGGTCCTACCTGAGACAATTGAGACTGTGTCTTTCTCCCATGACACAACAGTGATGTAGGCCTCCACTAAGGCCCGGATAATGCACTTGAAGACCGCTACATTGCCTCTCATGGCTTTCTGGTCCTCGACTCGGACACCATAGGGCTCCCGTAGAACTGCAGGAGGGGATAGATCTGGCATTAATGCAGCGCAAACACGAGATTGCAAAATATATCCCAAAACAAGGACTCGGTAGATTGCTGGATTATAAATACACTGCTAGAGAAAGGTGCTGGGAGATCTTTTAGGGTGGATGTCAGCATTTTTGTACTGAGATTAGCTTTGTGAACCACATAATATTTGTAATTCACTCCTCCGCAGCTCCAAAACATGAATCGGAAATGTATTTTAAATGAAACTCCATTGGCTACCTCGGGGGTAGGGGCTTACTCTTATTCAAGCTCTAATAACAAATACTGAAATTCATGTTGCACTTTTCACCATCACGCCTTTTTTATCAAAACTATGGTAGGGCTTTCAAAGTTTCAAAACTTATGGGTCAGTTTTGTTTTTTTTACATAAATTTTAGGAGCTTTCAGCCAGGGGAACAGCTAGGCAGGTGTGTAGCACTGGCTTTGCCTCTTAAAGACGGCTTTGAATAAACAGCCATTAAACATGTTACACACTTAAACTGGGGAGCAGGTGACTCAGCTGTTTGAGATTCTGCCTGGTTCCCCTGTGGTGGGGAGATGGGAGCCCCAGATCTTTACCTGGCCACCGAGTCTCCCTGTCCCTGCAGTCTGACATGGCTACCCAACCACTAATGCATCCAGACACGAGTATACGAGCAGACAAAGAGACACTCACCGGCCTTAATATGAACATCTTGGCTTCTAATTTTCCCTGAAGGATTTTCTGCTGTGCAATAGTAAGTGTTATCATGGATTAGGTTACTAAAGCTTGAAGGAGGGAAGGGGAAGATTTGGAGAGTGCCGTTTGGGTGGACGTGGCGGATCCCTGGAACATCGTAGATCTCCTCGCCCGTTGCTAGGTACCAGCGGAGCGTTGCCGGGGGCACGCCTGCTGCGGGACAGGGCACCAGGGTCCCTGTGGTGCTCGCAAACACTACCTCTTGCAGAGATGCATTGACGAAGTACAAGCTGGAAAGTAGGTCTTCACTGAAAACTGCAAGACATGAACAAAAACAAAGAAACATCAGGTACGGTTTTGGATGGAGTGAGATTTAAGATAAAGTCTGACTGCTCTCATTCACACTTTTCTCTCCCTTTTTGTTTTATTCTTATTTATAAAAGCACCCACTTGCCTCAGTTGAAAGATTAATAGTGTGAAAAATGGTCTGCTGCATAAGGCAGTACTGGTGGTCCAGATGAGGCAGTACTGGTGGCCCAGATGAGGCAGTACTGGGTGGCCAAGCACTTTGGAATCCAGCTAAAAAATGGAGACCATTGGCCAATGGACAATCAGTTTAGCTCCTTGTGTTGAAATGCTACAGTGTGAAACCATGTCAAACAACTAGACCCAGGGGGCCAGATTCAGTCTGCTGGAGTCAGTTGTCCATTTACACCCTCTGTGAACAAGTAGCAAACAGACACATACAGTACAACAGTCCCACAACAATAATCTCCATTCTCTCATTACAGGACAAGCCCTTGTTTCGACAGTGAGCTCCCAACATATACACTATTTCATTTATGTTACTATAAAATGGCTCTAAACCTTATCCTGCCTAGATAATTGACCTTTCCTTAAGTACCCTGGCATTTCAGATAAACGCCTGCTGTTGCTCTATTTGCCCCAGACTTGATAACCATGTTTGCACACAGATCGTTACTGCACAAAGGAGGAACACTGGCTCACATTACTCTGTCTGAAGAGAAACCCAGCCTGTCCTCGTGAGCATCCAAATCAATGCTCTACCATGGTATCCAGTTTCTTGCAAGGAAAACATTCTTCAACAAACGTGGACTGACAGAAGAACTCTTTCTTGTGTTTTAATAAAAGGTTTGTGTTTTCACATACATATGCTATTGAATTACATTAAAGTCAGATTCTGAAGATGCGGTCCTGAACAGATGAAATAAAAAGTCTGATCTGGTCTCCATATTTTTTAATTCCATCAGAGGTTAGAAATGCATGCTTCTTTCCGTAACCTAGTGCTGAATATACTTCACTAATAGCAGGTGATGAATCAGCCCACAGGAGTGGGGAATCAAATTCACTACCTTCAATGGCAGCATTTGAGTGGCAAGTAGATTCAGCAAAGCAGCCCAAATGCTTGACAAGGGCTTGTTTGTTGTAATTTTTGATGCAAACAATTTATTTGTTAATTAAAGCTAAATGAAAATCCCTTTACAGGTGGAAAAAAGCCTTTAAACAGTGATGGGCAGAAAAGTATCACATCAATCAGCCTCAGAAAGCCTGTTTTCAGACGCTGCAGTGAGTGCTGCCAAGTATATTCGGTAATATTACTGCTGAGACCTGTGACCACCTGTGACCTCTCAGCTCTCCGTTCCCATTCTCTGCCCTGACGCTCCAGCCCCTCACACTGGCCAAGCGGTCTGCCAACTGCTCTCATTTGCTGTAAACACACACCATCAGCGTGTTTTCGGTACTGCTTTGTCTACACACTGTGTGTATACCATTTTAACTCTTTCTATTTCATTTTGGGTAGAGCATCATCTGCCTCACCCTTGTGTCGGTCTTATGAAATGATCTTATTAACTGATCAATGTGATGCACTTCAATTCCCAGGTCCACAGCCAAGCACTCCTAACAAGGAGCTTTACACAGCACCACGTCACGCTCGCGAGGCACCAAGGCCTTTCACACGCGGCGCAGGAGAACCTGAGAGACCCAGCGCAGTATAACGATCCAATCCCAGTCCTGAGAGTGAGGGGGATTGTGGGTAGGACAGCCCTGCTCGGGCAGAGACGTGACTCAGCACGCCGCACAGACAGCAGGGTTTCCTGGAGAACGGAGGAAAAGGCAAACAGGCGAGGGGGTTATCAGGACCTGTAAAATAATTCAGCCCTGACTCATCATTAACTTCAGCTTTGGCAGGAGGCCCCAACCTAATGCTATTTTTAGTCAAATTGACAGGACTACTATAGCAGCAGTCTGACGTTTACACACAGGGCTATCCTGCCCACTGCCTCTCTTGTACAAGAGCCCAGCATGCTGGCGTTGTGCTGACAGGAGAGAGTCTGAATAAGAATCTAGAAAATAAGTTTGAATTCTAAAATAAAAACATAAGAAGGGTTATGAGAGGAGGGTTTTCTGCACATTTAATCAGTTTGTTTAGAAACTAGTTGACATCCAGCTGTTTCTTGAAGGAAGACAGGGTACAGTCTTCAACAGCATGGCTGGACAACTTGCTCCACACGCCCACAATTCTCTGTGTAAGGAAGAGCCCCCTGTTCTGCTGCAGATGTTTTAGAAAAGACGGATTCACTTTGTTCAGCTGCATTCTGGTAAATAATACCGACAACTAATTCCTGAGGATTAATTGAATGTACTTGGCAGCTCAATGTGAAATTAAGACCTTCATCTTACTCTGAGAATGAAAAGGAAATTGTTTTGATTTGTTGGTTTGAGGAATTTCAGTAAAAAGTCATGAAACATGACCAATGACTAAAATCTCCAGTGCCACAGTGGACAGAGTGCTTAATTAAAAAAATCAACACCATAGCTCACGCCCTTGGCCTTAAGACACAGCTTCAGGGAATTTAGTTTTATAACCTCTGTAACACATTTTACCAATCAGAACAAATACAAAATGAGTGAAGGAGGTCACACTCTAACATAGTGGTAAATGAGAAAAGACACCTGACCACACTGTCACAGTGAGTACACTACAACTGCAATCAGACTGCACTCCTTCACTCAAGAACAATTTCTTATAAGACTCTCAGCCTGCATCCAGCTTCTAATCATTTTTTTAGTTGCACTTTTCAGCCATTGGTAAAAGCTGCTGTGCTTCAGAAACCTGGAAGTCATCACAGAGCAGCAGAAAGAGCAGATTTATTTACATTAGTGTTCTCCCAAGCTGGGACCCTGAGTATGTGTGGTGACACACTGTCCAGCAACGCACATGACTTACATCAGCTGATCCCTGAAAGAGGAGTTCCGCCAGCGCAACACTGCGCAACACTGCGCAACACTGCCACTGAAGTCAGTGAAGACCAAGGTGCAGACGTGTAACCGATGAGTGCCACCCTGAATCACGATGGAAATAAAGCAACAGAGCACTAAATAAAATTGTAATTTTAGAACAAAATGTCAGACAAGTGAGGTCAGGGAATGCCTTAATCCCTGACCACTCTGCGGTCAGCCGGTCACGTCACAGTATCAGGCTGCCCAACAGTGCCAGTCAGAAACACACTCTTGCTCCTTGGCTACTTTTACTGCTTTTCCCTCATTCCTGCTCATTTAGTTTCCCTCATCTTTTCCAGCACTCGGACGGTGATGACGCTCAGCAGCACAGCAGGACAGGAAAAAAAGAGATCTACAATGTACAACATACATGTGGAGTTTCTACAGTGGAGAAAGGCCTTCAGTTACTCTTTAGATTAAGAACGGATATTCTTTAAAAAATCAACTTACTATAAACTGAGGTTCTTTAGATGTAGTGTCCATAGATATAGAGGCTAGGTTAGCGCTAGGATGAGGATAGGGGTCTGTTTGTGGGGCCTTTTCTGAATGTTAATTAAGTACTGAATTGAAGACAATTAAGTTAATTTGTCTTGGATCACTTTATTATGTGTCCAAATTCTGCTGTATAATGACGTGGTCTGTGCTGGGAAGGGTTAGGAACTGAACTGAAACTTTAATGAAGAGCTTCTGACAGCAAAATGATAGTGACTGACAGAAAAAGTCAGACAACCAGGAGAAAAACTCAGGACAGAAAAACAAAATGAAACACTTTCATGTCCATCAACAACAAAGAAGACAGGTGTCTTTTTTGTCATATGTCATTTGATATTCGAAATTCAGGCCACAAGTTCCAGAAATCTTTTTCAAAACATGAGTGTTGATGCTGTATGAATGTGTGTGGATATGCTGGGGAACAAGAAGGAAGATGAATTACTTTCACTGCAGTTCATGCTAATTGCTAAGCGGTTAATTTCCAGACAGTGCCTGTGTGCTCATTGTTGAATGTGGCCTTGTGCCTAGCCCTGTTGTCTCAGTCTGTCTCTGACTTGCAGGCAGGCAGCGAATGGCTCACCAGTGACAGCTGGCAATCCCATCCCTGGGGATAAAACATTTTAGCACTTCATAAATTTATAACAAGGTTTCAAATCGCAGCAGTTTCCACTCTTGCATTGCTCCATTGGTTTAATGCACACATGCGCACACACACACACAAACGCGCACACACACGCGCACACACTCGGGCTTACACAAGGGCTAGCACACAGCTAGGATGCTTACAGTACACAAACATGCGTGTATGGGCAAGTACACACATGGGCTACCACACACTGACAAATACATGCACATAGGCTCACATGCACACGTATGCACACACACACAAGCACACATGCGACACATGGGCTAACACAAGGGCTAGCACACACACGAGCACACATATGTTTTCGACACACTCATCAATACTTAAAAGAAACAGTAAAAAAAAGAAAAGCAGGAGCTGAGGTGTAAGCCCTCATAATTGAAGGTAAATGGAAAATCAAGATTGCTTAAGTGGTTTGTTATGTTTAATAAGCACCAATTAGCTGTGCTGAGCGAGAGACAGAAATTTTCTGTGGCCTGAGAGAATATGCTGGCAGGGTCTGAGGGCTCCAGTTCCTGCCTGCTATTGCATTCTTTGCCAAATTATAGCCCAGATAAGACGTGACTGCTGCACACTTATTAGGACATGCTGCTGTTTCCACATGTGGACACACCTCTCAGACCAGGTCAGAGGCCACTTCCTGTAAAGAGGAAACCATATTCTTACTCACAATAGATATACTACATTTGAAATTCAGTCCAGTCCCCTGAGGTCTTTATTCTAGCTCATTTTCATGCAAGGCCGTGATTGCATAGTCCTAATGCATAAGGGGAATAATTATTTCAGTAACAACAGGTCTCAAATCATGTTATACTTTTTTTTAAAGATTACCATACAGTTTGTTGTGATAGTCCTGTTTTTTTAAATCACCACA